CCTTGCATTTTGACTTGGTGAAGCTCCTGCAATTTCTACCAATACTCGGCCGGACTCCCTCGTTGTTTTTCCGTAGGACGTGAAGCAAACCAACAAACGCAGTGGCATGTGAAGGAACTGCTGAAATTCTAGGGGCAAGGGCAAGCGCCTCAGAGCAGAGCTCGATTCAGCCCGCAGAGACATCCCGCTTTGCCTCGAGGCCACGCTTAACGCTGCCTCGGTCGCCTGCCAAATACAATAAGCGCGTGCCCTACCCTACGACGCTCGTGCATCTGTTACCTGACATGGGGCAGTGATAAGAAGCCCTTAAGTGCTTCCATAAATAAATACGCAGTTTACACAGGATGGGGAAAAAGCTCCAACTCTAAAAGGTAAATCTTGCTAACGGGTGAAAACTCCCAGTACTACGAGCGTTTCTGCAGCCCAGTCTGCTCTTGGAAGCAACGAATGCCCAGCATTGTAACTGGATCCCCATAGCAACATATTTCCAGACCAAGCTAAAACCATCGAGTTACTCTAATAGAAGCTCTTTATACTGATTTCCAAAATAACTCCGGGAACTACGCTCCTAAGAGAAGAATTATGAATCCGAAACATTTATTAATGACTCACCACAGCAAATTAGCTTCGTTCTAGAAAGCCAAAGAACACGAGTAAAAATTCTGTTTCTCTTGTCTGAAATTCACTTTTTTTAACACACTACAGGACCTTTCAGACCTACATTCCCTCCATCCTGCACCTCTGACAACTTCTTTGCACCTATTTTTCACTGGCTAATCAATAAAGGCTCTGTGTGCACCACTGGTTTACATACAGCTGCTGTAAACCATCCTGCTATAAAATTAAAATATGCTACTGTTAATATTCTCATCAACAGTTTCCAGGTCCACCAAGGGACACAGGGAGAAGGAAATGAATGAAAAAGGTGGGGAAAACCAGAAATATGGGCAGAAATTCCGTGACCGTTATGGAAGGCCCCTGGGAAAATAAGGCTTTATACAACAGTATACTTGGGTTACACGTTTCAACACTTGGTACATGTGCTGAGGAAAAATGTTCCAGCTTATTTCTGCTTTTCTCCCTCTTTCCTTTCATGAAAATTAACCAGTGCCATGTGTCAGCTGTGAGATAACCCAAACAGTATTTTTAAATATCACTTCTAAAATGCAGCATCTAAAAAAAGGAAATAAAAAAAGACCAATTTTGTCATCACTTCTGGGTAAATTAAACTGAACTTCATGATTTTTGACCCATAAGCAAGTTTCCTATGCCTGTAATTTGTGAGCTGGGGAAGATGGCACCATCGGACATCACAGCTTCAGAAACGCATCAGGCATTTTCCCCTGCATCTAAAATGTCAAGTTGCTTATCCCTTTCGGTTCACTTTGGAAGGCAATTAGTGAGCGTAAAAATATACTTCAGGTAAACAACTTGATCCACAGCCCCTCCTGAGACTTGATTAGTTCCCACCGGGTTCTAAATTCAAGCTGTGTTAAAATAAAACTGCAACAGAATGCAAGGACACAGCTCAGACCACGAGGGAAAGCCCGTTTTTTAGGGTTTGACACAAAAGTATGAACTCCTTTGGAATTCTTGGAAGGGAAGGATGAGTTCAATTAAGAGAGATTAATACAACAGAGTGGGGAAAAAAAAGTTATGGTAGAAGCAAAGGCGGTGTTGTTTTCACTGTTTAAAAACAGCCCGGTTAAACCCAAGGGACCTGATTAAACATGTTATGGAGAGCAAGACCATCCTCCGTTCTAAAATCACTGAGCAAGAGGGACTGTGCAGCACAGATTTGCTTCAACAGGAAAAGCAGACAGGAGGGTTTTGCTCAGAGGAAACAGCATCCCCAACTCCGGCCAGTTTTGCACCTTAAAGCCCCACAGTGGATACCGAACCACGAAAATCCAAATACCCCAAATAAAACGTGCCGTTCCCCAAATAAATCTGAGCCCCAAGACTGACTAACTCCATCCAGCAGCAGAATGTTCCTGGGTTACCTTATCCTTGTATCCAGCAGCTCTTTAATCATCAGAACCACTTCATCATCTTCTTCTGATGCAGCTTGGGAAAAGGAAAAAATGTACAAATAAGACCTTGGAGAGGACTCTGATATGATTGCTAAGACTGTATAATGGCAGAAGGTAAGGTTGGGAGGGTTCAGGCAGGGTACTCGAAAGGAGAGTTACAAACGAGTCTGGGTTTAGTAGCTCTGGATGCAATTTTAAGCTCAGTGCTAGTCTCACAGAAGCACACTTAAAGACAAAATACAATAAAGCCTGTGTTAATATTGAACATCAATGCAGACAGATCAGAGAGGGACAGTCATGATATGCCTTAAAACACTTGAAAAATTAAGTCAGTAAGTTTTGAATGAGAAAATAAAAGGCAAAACACTGCCTTTGAGTTAAACTGTAAGTTAGTCTCAGTTCCTTTCTGTTACAGTCTGGGAAAGACTTCTTACTCTTTATTCATTTAAGACTGTTAAACCTACCATTAAGACATGGATACTAAGCTTGGACACTCTTTTTTTGATTCATGGGTAGAAATAAACCCCTTTGTAGGCTCCCCCACAAAAAGGGGCTGCCTAAAAGCAGCCTCAGTACTTGGAAAAAATTTCAGATCCAAAGTCTGTCGTGGTCCACCCTGCCAAAGCCCTCAGCTCCCGTGAGGATACACAACTCCTGCAGGCAGCGTGGCGTCGCTGCGGCAAGGACAAACACGTTCTGCAAATTCCCTCTCGCGTTAGTTTTAGCAGTTTTCACTTTAAATCCTCGTGCACGCTTTCCTGATGGACAAGGGAAGGCTCTTTGGGATGTCACAGAAACTAAACCCAAAGGCAGACGCTGGCCTCTTCCTCAAGAGATCTCTAAGGTCCCTTCCAACCCAGGCCAGTCTATGATGAGTCTGGTTTACCTGTGTCTGTCCGAGGTGCCTCATCAGTAACTACAGGTAAGCCAGAGGCAAAGAAATCCATTATAGTTGCGTAAATATCTGGTTTCAGCAAGTTCCAGTCCAGGTCTTCACTCTCCTGTGAGAATCAGAACAAAATGAAAATAAAGAACTAAACCAGGGTATCTGCCTCCTAACAGTAAGTTACGCAGATTCTTTTTACGTTAAAAATAGCATAAATGGCTCTCATGTTTGATACGTGGCTTGATTTCATCCTTTTGTCATGCCCAGCTTTGTCAGAAAGTTCAGAAAAAACTCAATTTATAACAGCAACAGAAAGGTTTCCTTGTTTGCAAGACATTAAAACATTAGCTAAAAAGAGGTGCAAAAGAAAAAGCCTCCCAAATACACCCTTTGGCACGCATTTTCACCAGACTCTCTCAGAGACTCGAGACCGTTTGGTTCCACGTAACTTCGAGCCAAATTATCATTCCCTGGATTGCGTCGTGCTCTTCACAGGGTGGGAACATCAGGGCACGGTCGTTAAACACCACCTTAGCCCTGCTGCCCTGAGCTCCACACCCTGAGCACACACGCGGCCCCGCAGCACTCTCTGGAGCTCATCTGCCGTGCCTGGCCTGGCAGCCCAGGCTGGTGCTTATCTGCTTATCTTTTATAGCAAAGCAATTTTCTTTGTGCTGCTTCCTCTGTATTGTGTCCAGTTTGGGGCACCTCAATCCAAGAGAGATCTCAAGGGGCTGGAGCATGATGAAGCTGGGGAAGGGCCTGGGGGATAAATCTTATGGAGAACAATTGCAGGAGCTGTTGAGTTTGGAGAAGAGGAGGCTGAGGGGAGACCTCATCACTCTCTACAGCTGCCTCGTGGTAGAGAGGTTGGAGCTGGGCTCTTCTCACGGGTGATCAGCGATAGAACAAGAGGGAACGGCTCCAAAGTGCAACAGGGCAGGGTTAGGTGTTTTCCCAGCAAGAGCAGTCAGCTGTTGGCACAGGCTGCCCAGGGAGGGAGTGGAGTCCCCATCCCTGGAGGTGTTTAAAGGTGGTTTAGATGTGGGGCTGGGGGAGATGGTTTAGGGGTGAGCTCTGTAGAGAAGGGTGAATGGTTGGACTCGATGATCCCAAGAGTCTCTTCCAACCTGAATGATTATGTGATTCCTCTGGTGCGTTCACTACACACATCTGAGCAGATCTGCTCTATGGCCAGCCGGCCGGCTGCTCATCGTTTAGCAAGTCGGAATCTCTGTTCTGCTCACCTTGGTGATTGTGATGAAGTCCGGTCCAAAGAAAACACTTTTAACTCCTTCAATTTTGAATAACTGCCTGGTAAGAAAAGAAAAAAAATGCACCCACATTTCAGGCAAGCTCCTCAAGATTTATTTAGCCTGCCACAGAAAAGAAAAAAAGCTCTACAGTGCAATTCTAGATAAAAATAAGTGCTAAAATCAGAAATATTACAAGAAACTCAGTTACTTCACCTACAGCTTGGTAAGAACCAGGAGATCCTGCTGTGAAGCAGCGGACACAGTAAAACTGAACACATCTTACAGGACTTTTCCACAAGATGTAAAAGAGTTTCACTCTCTCCAGTTCCTCTTTGGAGGCAAAAATATCCTCTGTACATAGAAAGGTATTTAAAAAAAAACCCGTTCCTTCAGCAAGGACTAGTGCAAATACAAGGAATGTTCCTTAGATTAAAGCCAGTTATTTAAAATAATCGGGCTCAATAAAAACTGCCTTCCATTCCGTTGCCACTCAGGGGAAGGATTAGTGCCGAGCAGCCCCCAAGGCTCTGACACACCAACTTGTTCTGGGAGCAATCGTCAGTATTTTTAGTCCTTTGAAAAACTGAGTCAAATGAAAAACTTGAAGATTGAGTTAAGGCTCAAGATTCATACAAAATTACTTGAGACGGCCCCAATACAGCACCCAACAACCAGGTGGTAAATCAGCACATACCCAAAGCAACTCAGAGCTCGGAGGGTAGGAAATGGTGTATTTTTGACAGTATTTTAAGTATAAAAAGCAGAATTAGAATGTAAAGACAAATTTCCACATGGGGTTAAATAAAACCCAATAGATTTGCCTGCAGAATAAATAAATGATGCTAGTGCTGCAGAGTAAAAAATAAAAATCACTAGAACTAGGAAGCACCCAGAGGTAAATACAGCGTAAGGCTGTAGGAGTGTGTTTGTAATTAAGGAAAAAAAAATTAAAAATAAAAAATGTATTTTCCTGAAAGACTGAAAACTATGAAAAACACAACGAAGGAAGGAATTGAAAATTGTATCATAAAGGTAAGCATGACGAAAAATGACAGAAGAGATGTCACAACACCCATGTCAAAGAATCCCCACACAGGAAACAGTTTTACATATATTGGGCTTTTACAGCCCTAAACCCACTGGATTTTAAAGTTACTCAAACAACGAAATTACGCCAGTGCACCAAACCATCCCAGATCAATTAAATAACTCTCCTTCCTCCCTCTCCTTCTCTGAACAAGGAATACTCCCTTTTAAAATAAATGAGTATTCTATTTACGGGGTTTAACAAGATATAAGAGACCATTATTTTTCTATAACCTGCACAAAAGGCATAATCAAGCCGGTTTGCCACAGCGCACGATCTCGCACATACATGATCTCTGATGAAAAACATCTATTTGCAGATATTTGACAACAAAAAGCCACTTTCTGACAGTTTCGTTCTGCAACCTGACACACTTTGGCATCAGATCCTCCAGCTTCAGCACCCCACATGTTTTGATGTCCTCAAAAACCTTTCGCTTTGTATTTATTTTTTCTAAGTCACAGAGCTTTGCTCTTAAAGATCCTGTTTGTTCTCAAACAACTCTGCAGGAGACCTTTGGGGCGATCAGCGCTGTGTGTCTGACAGCCCTACGCTTCCTGGGCAGAGCGTCACACCACACAGCTTCTGCTTTCGCACATAATTCTCCCAATATACACAACGACAACTCAAACTGGGATTTCTGGAGGTGACCTCCTGCACCATTTCTGGATCTCACCCTCTGGCTGAAACTCTTCCACCCACGTAACGGATGAAAGCTCTTTCCACGGGCTACAACAAACGTGCAAAACAGACCCTTCCCAACTTTCCCAGAGGCTGGTGATGGTGCTCCAACCCCCTCTATACCAACATGGTATCTGCTCCGAAGTTCTTCCTCCGGGTGATGCATTTTGGTATTGAAAGCTGCAACTCCCAAGACCTGTTACAGACCCATCTCCACAGAGCGGGCCAAAACCCGTCGTCCTCAGGCTGAGACACGAAGGAAAAATCCACTGGCTTTGAAGTCCAGGTGAGCCCCAACACCTGCCAAAGCAGGCAAGCTCCTACATTAAATTCGTAGTATCTGACCTTTTTCCTCCTTATGCTATTTCCCAATTGTGCGTGATTTCCAAGGAGTTGCTTGAATTCGGAGTCTTCCCATAGGAATAATTTTGCAAAATCAAGGCCAGAGGCCTCACCAGTGATGCAACAAGTCCTGATTTGTAACACCACCACCCCATCCAGCTGCACAAGCCAGACCACGACGGATTTGGCTCCCCACAGCTGTGGGGAGCACCGAGACACACAAAGACTACTTCAGTAACAGCAGCCTTCCCCACTTTAATTTTATGCCCAAGTAAAGCAGCATTAAAAACTTAAACCCAACCAAGCCGCTCCCCACTAGAGTAAGGAGCAGAACAATCAAAAGCTGTGCTTAAAAACATTGGTTGCAGCCACACAGCCCATGCGGATCCCCCAAATAAATTACGATGTGTTTAAGAATACCTTGCTAAAGGTGAGCAAAATGCTGCAGCTGGTGTGGCAAACTCCATAGTCCTCGACTCCAGCACTTCCTTCCCTGGAATAAACTTCAAACTATTGGGATTTGGTGTGTCCTGAGTTTGAATAAACATGCCTCTTACTAGAAATCAAACAAAAAAAAAAACACAAAAAGAAGAAAAATAATGTAATCAAACCTAAGTGGTTTAAATGAAAGTCAAGGATCCTGATTACGTGAGTCAAGAGCAGGGCGATCACAGGGCTACGGCAAACCAGGCGCTTCGATACCGCAAGGAGAAGCGCCCAGCTTGCCGTGGAGCCCGACAAACGCCAGCCCGTCACCTCACAGGGACCAAGGTGACCAACGGAACCTCGGCTTTGCTTCCTCTGCCCACGTGTGCTCCCCAAAAAGCAGCCCAGCCCAACAGCAGCGACCCGCAGGACACTGGCACCATCCGGAGCAACGTTCATTTCTGCCGGGTTTCGGCTTTTTTATTTTACGATCGTTAAATGCTGTCTAGTTCCTCTTCCACCATTATCCGTTCCTGTTCAAAGCACAATCAGTTTTACTAACTCCCTCTTGAAGATACACATGATTTAGGGGCTTATTTCACTTTTCAGCACTATCAAAAAAGAAAAACAAGCATAAAAACAGTTACAGCAAATCACACCGATTACAGTATTTCCCAGAGTGAAAAATTACTGTAAGCTATGACTTATCCTCCAGAAAGTGAACTGACCAAACAATTCAAAGTAGAATTATTTACAATTCACTGCTAAAGATGTTTAACAGATAAATTTTTACTTTTTTTGCAGCATGGGTCTTTCACTAGAACAGTATAAGAAAATGCTCGATCTTGACTAAAATTGAATACTCTACATTTAATGGTGTGCATTTAATAGTGTATTTTCCTGTAGATGTGTCCATGGTTAGGTCAGCGTTCGGGGCAGTTTCCCATGTTCTAATTCTCTTCCAAGATTTCCTTTCTAACTCTCCCTGCACAACAAGTGAAACAATGTGACACAAATATTCAGGAAAGAAAAAGAATCTGTTTTAAAACCATAAATCTCTAGAAACTAGTAACTATAAATAACTTACACTCGAGCAACAGGTTTGAGTAACTTCAAAGAATGTGCAATAGAGGGATTTAAAGCAGGAAAAAGGAGCTGACGTTTTCATTTTCATAAACTGCCATTTTGCCCACGACTCCGCAGTACGAGATGACAAATCGCGCTATTTATAAATTGCCAAATTGTTACTGCACGTGTCTGTCATGGTAACAACCCCTTTGACTTGAGCATACGCAATGGCAGAGTACGCACACGCTACGTTTTCTATCATTTTTTTAAAGGATAAGAAAGACTTAGCAGGAAAGTAACTAGTTTTAAAATGAAAACAATGGTTCTGACAGAGCAAGCAGCTACTCAGCTTGATCCATGGAAGAATCTTCCACATCCAGCTGGCATCCAAAAGCCACATCCAGCCTGGGAACTCACTTCACAACTAACCAACAACACGGGATTCGGTGTAAGGGGAATCCGCTCTGTCCATTTTCTGTAGGCAGTGGGTCACTAACAGCTATTGGGTTTTAATTACTAATCAACTCAGAGAGATCTTTGCGCAGCCGTCAATAACTCAAATTTATTACTGAGTAGTCGGTAACTGGTGTATTTCCATCAAACACCTACACCGCTTCCCTGAGCCCCCCGCGGAACGCGGGGTGCAGCTGCCGGCCGCTCTGTTCTGCCATCTGCTCAGGGTAAGGGGAAAATTCCAGATCAACACCAACATTGCAGAAGCAGGTAAAATATTAAATCTACTTGTCAGAGTCTGGTTGTTGGTTAGAACTGACACGGAAAAAATGGGGCAGGACCAGGTAAGATTGGACCTCTCTGAAACCGAGATTAAAAAGAAACTTCTCCCTGAGAAGACTCATTTAAATAAAATTTCCATTTGTGACTAATTCCAAGCAACAGCACCTGCAGAATCTTTCTGACTTAAACTCTTTCTGATACGGCACAGCTAAATCCCTCAGGTAGGTGCAAAAGCACTATGGTTCAGAGATATTTTTTCCTTCTCCTTTTCTTTTCCGAGTGTTACAGCCCCCAAAAAAAAGTAGTAGGTACAACAGACTCAATCTGAAACATTGCTTTTTCTGGGTACTATCAAGTTGCAAATAACGGATAATGCCATTAATGCACTGTACACTGATGCGTGTTTAAGAGGGGGAACATTAAAAAAAGAAAACCTTGGAGCTTCACTTTCATCTTTGCTGGGTTCTACGCGGATGGCCAGCACCGTCAGCTGGCAGAGCTCAGCGGCTGAAGCAGGACAGAAGGCAGCACAAAGTCTTTCACAATGGATACATTTACACAAAGATGGAAATCAAATTAAGAAGTGCAGCAAATCCCAAGTAATATTTTGCACTGTCAAAGCCCCTTTTAAGTCTTGGCAGCTGTAGGCTACAGAAAAAACACGGATAATCAAGCAGACAGTCATCCAGATCTCCTCCCCACGCTCCAAATGCACTACCCCTTCATTAAAAACCACCTAGGAAACGTTATCACGCTCGGATTTCAGGAAGAATAGCAGGGTTTTATTATTACCGCAAGACATAAAAACTCACAATACAGTCACCTATGAATTTTTAACTAGGATTTACCTGCATTACGCCACACTGCAGAGGGTAGAAACGGTTTCTTTTGCGCAAGTTGGTGGAAAGGCTGTTGCGTTATCAAGCTATGATCTTTTAACATCGTGCGACAGAACCTAGAGAAAACCAACTTTATTAACAATTTCCAAGTCACAAGTTTGCACTATCCCACAGAAAAAGTGCTTCACATGCTTCTAGCAACGCCAAAACTCAGTAAGATGCTTGCCTGCCTTAAACCTCTCAGGTAATGCAGCAAGCTCACAGGCTAATCACAATATGTCTCTTATTTTCCCCCTTTTCAGTGCTCCTCCTCATTTCCTAACTGAATAGACACAACTTTCTGATTTTTGGCACTAAAAGAATTAATCTTCACAGTCACAACACCTTACTTACCTGTAACGGAAGAGGATAAATCACCCTAGGAGAGGCTTTTGACAGTAGCGAGTGCCTGGCAACCTAGCTAGGATTAAATACCTAGTTTTCAGAAGATTACAGACAGCTGAGATGAATCCAACCCCAAGCACCTGAAGCTAAATCAAGGCTAGAATTTACTCCTATACTCTGTGTGTTTCACTGGTCAAATATTAGGCTCTCTTATATGACTCTTTGAATTATAGAATCGTATCAGCTGGAAGAGACCTAGAAGACCGAGTCCAGCCAGAAGATACAAGACAGGCTAAAAAGCTGGTGCAACAGCTACTCTGACACAAAAAATTCTCCTAAGGCGAAAAGATTAAAATTCTGTTAGCTGCACATACCTCACCTCTGTCCGCTTCCATGTATTTCTCCCCTTTGGGGAATAAAGAAATCCAGTACATTCCCATACAAGTACTGTTCCAGAATTAAACCAGACCAGTTAACAAGAGGCCCTGCTCCATATCAGCCACGTAACTCGCACTATCGAACTAGGGGTGGTGTCATCTGCTCAGATGAAGAGAGCAGAGGGTTAAACAGAAAAAAATATTAGGAGAAACACCAAGGTGGGGCGGTGGAGTAACGGGCCTAACGTTCCAAAGCGAAAATGCTCACACATCTGATTTCTGTAACTGCATGCACAGCCAAAGGCATCCAGGTACTTCGAAGGGAAAAATCAGAAAACGGGAAACCCACCTCACGTCACAGAACGCAGAGATGACTGTGACGCACAGAGGATTAGTATCTGGTTTCTCCCCTCTCTTTCAGGCACAGAGTGGGGAAAGCAGGTAAACTAAATAAATTACATCCGCGGGAGCTGTTACAAAAGGGGAGCCCGATTCTCTCAGGGGGTCATAAACGAGAACGGCTTTAGGCCCAAATTCCTCAAACACGGGGAGAAACGCTCAGTCTCAAGAAACAGACCTCCCTGCTGCGAGCAAGGGAGATACAAACACCAAAAAGGTCTAACATTATGATTTGTGCTCACTTTTGTGGTCGGGCTAGCACGGGCAGGGACAACAGGACACGTGAGGAAGGTCCCTCAAGAGAAAAGCTCTCCTTTCTCCCTTCAGCTCTGGGGAATAAACACTTATTTAGCACAGCACCTAACAGATGTGCCTGTCATGGATTCCCCCTTATTGCAGAATCTTCAGCACCTGGGGGGCTGTAGGATTTCACCTTATTGTTTGGCCCTAAGCACAGCTCTGTGTGTGTGTGTGTAGGGGCAGTTACTGCCCCTCGCTGCAGGGTCCTGAGTGCCT